AAATGATGAGTTAAAAATGATAAAATTAGATTTAAGTTATTCTGCATTGTTCAAAGAAATTTTTTTAAAAATTTTAAATAATAGCTTAGGTAAGATTAGGATTCAACTCTGAGTTTCAAATTAAAATAATAAATAGTGGATAAAAGAAATATATAAATATATTTACTTGTTATATAATGTTTTAAGTTTTAAAATCCTTTCAGAAAAATTCTGACAAAAAAAGTGGCAAACATGATGAGATGTAAATATAATAGGGACTTAAAAATAACAAAATGAAGTTCTCTCCATAACCATTTAGAAGGCGGACTCTTAGGGGAGAAATTATAATGGCCAATAAATATTAAAGCAGTACTGAGCTGGGGTGAAGAAAAGGTAATTGTGCTTATTTCAAGGAAAAATTTTTATGGATAAAATGGTAGTCTCTAAAAGTTTTAATAATTAAAATTTGGAACTTATATTCTGCTCTATATTTACTTGTAATTTACAAAATCAAAATTCTTGAAAGAGGAGGCTAAGACTTCAATGTACCCTCACTCAGTGTAACACAAGGTAAAATGTAGCATTTTCGTAGGTACTCAATTAACATTTTTGAATAAATAAATGAACTGAATGTAAAGCTGAGGTCAAAGATAAGTGCAAATCATGGTTGAAGCACTATCTAGAATTTCAGTTTGATTAAATGTTAGGAAAATGTTCCAATGGGTAAATTAAGTATTCAGTTAAGTTGCCTAGATAGTTTATATAATATCTCTCCATTAAAAAATTAGGCAATTTATTTTAAAGTTAGTACTGAAAAACAATGTTCTTTATTGTACAAATATAAATTTTAAAATGAAAAGTCACACTCCTAAAACATTCAATTATTTATTTTAGACACACAGACAGACCTGCCTTGACCTCTTCACCCTGCCTTTCTCCCCCCTGCTCTTCCGCATGCCCAGTTTCTTCATGAACTTCTGTATTAGTAAAAGTAAAAAAAAAAAAATGATAAGACCAGATATGTATATTTGATACTCTTAAGTGAAACAAAACATTTTAAATTATTCCTTCTATAGTAGTGATTATTAAAAGACTAACAGATTGTTTTTAAAAAGTTTCTGACATATCATGTAAGCAAATAAGTATACCTGTAATAAATGATCTCACTGTCTCCTTTTACAACTTTGATTTGTGAAAGAAAAACTGTGGTCCCTAAAATACTAGCAATGGTGATAACTGTGTAAAGTATGCATAAAACTTTGTCTTTTAACTTGGTACATTCTTACAAAAATAAAATGATATAGCTTTTCTTCTAAAGAAACAAAATATGATATTATAAACTCATTTATCTTTACCAAATGCCACTACATCAAAGTTAGGGGGAAATAAAAATAAAAATATTAGCAATGCCTTGCAGTTGCTCAGTATGTTGTACTTTCATTATATTGCTCCTATTTTCTCTGGTTCTCAAAGAAAGGATGACTAACGCTATACCACCATCAAGATGAATACATATAAGGTTTTAATTTAATTTAATTAACAGGCTGAATTATAACAACCAAACTAAAAAGGAATTAAATTAAGACTTGCTAATTTTTTAGCTGTTGAACATGATTAGAAAATAAAAATGTCATTACTTCTATTCCAAAATAATGCAATTAAATTACAACTTCTGACAACTTTTTAGAGACAATCCAAGCCTAGTTTGATTTAGACTTATCTATTGATAGTCTATTTTGGGTTATGTCCCTTTAACTTCGGTTAGAAGTTGAGTACTTCTAAAGAGATATTACATACCTCCTTTAAAGCTAAAGAAAATCACACAATCATGTATCTCTTGGTCTTTATATCAACATTTATAAAAACACTGTTAAAATCATTCATACTTTTAAGCAAAACTAACAAGAACCCTTTTAATTCAAACTGGAAAGGATAAAGGAGGTTTTGGCTCTCCTCTCTTATTTATAAAAATGGAAAAGCCACAATTAGGGACATTAAAGAAAACGGTGGTTTTAATAGATTCTATAGGGCAGAAAATAGACAGTAAATAGAATGTTTAAGAAGCCCATTAAAAATTTCCTCTGCCCTGGCCAGGTAGCTCAGTTGGTTAGAGCATCATCCCGATAAGCCAAGGTTGTGGGTTTGATCCCCAGTCAGGGAACATATAAAAATCAACCAATGAAAGCGTAGATAAGTGGGGAAAGTTCTTTCTTCCTTTCTCCCTCCC